GACCTAATTGGTTACAGACTCTCGTCGTTATCAAAAATTGTGTTTTTGAGAACATTTCAGTTTGTGATGAATCTGAAACGACGGCACAAAGCGAGCAGATGAAGTAGTTCAACTTTTTAAATGAACACCTTTTACATATTTATGGATTTTTTTTCATGGAGTGAGGAGGGTAAATGTCATTTTAAGAAATTCTTGTGAATGTCATTTTTAAGAAATTCTCATTTCTATTCAAAGCAGCCTATCATTATGCTGTATGTCCTCCAAAATGTCTGGAGGTGATCTTTAAGGTCGTGTTAAGTCCAAAGTCCTCAAATTTCAGCGCTGAGGTTCATGTCCAAGTCCCGGGCCAAGTCGGACTCTCTTATTACAGCTTATTAAGACTTCCGGGGCCACCGCTGCTTCGCTCTTTCTTAGGCTGTAATTTAGATTTTTCTTTGGTCGCATCGATGAGTCACTCAAGTTTCACACCAACGTGACTCAGAAGAGGCTGAATCTGGAGCAACCTGTGCAGAAAGTTGAGAAGTGTTGAGGAGTGTGGCAGGAACATTGAGTTACTTTGTGCATGAAAACGGTGTTTCTTTGAGAGAGAAAGCTGGTATGTAGTCAACTAATATTAACAAGCGTCTGACTGCAGCACGCCTAAAGACCAACTGGTCAGATGGCCGAGGGATCGAATCAAAATGCCGTTTGTGTCTGTTATGTCCACGTCGTCCTTGTTCCCCTGTCACTGTTATAATCCCATTTCTGTCTAACACGAGTTATTGAGTCATTTTATTACATGCCCCGGCAGCTGTGAGAAAACAGACAATATGAGAGAGATCACGATGACATGTCTGATTACTGGCGCCATATGTCCCTCAGCCGTCTCTCCATGAGGAGAAGAGAGCTGATAAGAGAATCGTGAAAAACGATCAGGCTGATTTGAAATGACAGCTTATTTCAAGTGATGATGGGAGGTCCTTAGAGTGCAAGTGATGGATTTGAATGCGGCACAGAAGTGACCCGCCTCGTCAATACGACCATCAGCTGCCAGGAGCTGCTTGATGGTGTTTATTATCAGAACACGAGAAGGTTCCACGGCTTCCTTCCAGTGTGCACCGGTGGACCTTATGCAGATTTGTCGTTTACATATGAAAGCGTTTGCATTAAAGTAGAATTTGTTTATTTATTTCTTTTCAAGCGGCTGCTGTTTCTGAGGTAGAGCACACATGCACGTCTTTGACTTGTTGGTCGACTGAGAATCAGCCTGGACGATTATCAGACCCAATATCCTGCATTTTTCTAATTATTGTTATTTTTTTTAAACTGATGTCAGACAAAATAAAAGCACTTTAGAACATGCTGGCTTCGATATCTCGCTATCTGTTGTCACCGCTCAGTGGTCTGGAGCCACGTCCCCCCCACAGCTATCTGATTGGTTGCACATCGCTAGTAGCAGCCTATCAGCGCTGGAAAGTTTTCTTTTAATTAAACACATGTAAAACATTAGCAGAAGCATTTTAATGAGGGTTTGTGTTGTGTGTAGTTTTTACACCACATGACACCGTGTACCTGTCGACTGACTGATGAGCTGCTGCACACACAGTCACAATCAGCTGCAGGTGAAGCACTTGTTAGGCAGCGAAGTCCTGAGCTCAGCTATTGTAAAGCAAAAGTCTGGTCCAGGATATTTCTCACGTTATGGATGCAGTACACAGTCTGACCTCTCTAATCAATAGATTAGTTACCAAAATATGGCAGCAGGTAGTCGATCAGCAATGAGAAGCTGTTTAAAGTTACTGTAGTTCAACAGATGATCATCACACGTGGACAGAATTTGAAATCATAAATAAACTCTGGATGTGTCTTTAATGTGTTTCTAACAAAGTCTCAGGTTTATGATGTTAGACCCAGTTCTTTTGTTGAAACAGCTCCAAGGAATAGTCGGAGAAAAGTTCAGGTCTCAGGTTAAACAGTTTATTCAGGTCACAGGTAAAGTTTTACAGCGCTGGATTCAGAGGGACAGAGAGGAATCTCATATCCAGCTGAACTGAGTGTTTTCGGTTCCAGGTTACAGATATCTTCTTGGGCTGGGCCTGCCCCGAGCATAGATAAGATTTAATTGGCCAGTTACCAATGGCGTGGACAAGCATCCTTCTGTGCTCTGTCCATGTCCTTGACATTTTTTGTAAGCAACGTGTGTGGATGTTGTTGGTACGGCGTGTAGCTAAAGCAACAATCATATCTAAGAGAAAAGAGGAGTTTCCACTATCTCCAAGTGTGCAAACCAGTTCTCACTGGCCACATTATTTTCAAGGACATAAGCTCAGTACAAAATACAAACTCAGAATACATAATAACTTGAAACTTAATTGATTATAAGAACCATAGGCTTCATGGAAAAATACAGACTCAGAACACATAATAGCTTGAATCATACTTAATTATAACAATGATGCTTGTAGGTGAACTTTTGTCCCTCAAATAAACCGCAGCGTTTCGTTTTGTTTATTAGGATCCCAGTAGCACCAGCATAAGCATCTCTTCTCCTGGGCGGTTTTGAACTGCAGTCACAAACTGTGCTGATCTATACATGAGGGCTGGACCCAAACAGCCGACTGTATGTTCGCTGTGCTGGTATCAGGATAGTAACTTTGATCTCCGACTGTGGGAGCAGGTTAGCTGTGCAGCGTGAGTTAACATGTTGGTCTAACCAGGTTATTAGGACCACTGGGAGAGGATCATGTATGTGAGTCTGACCACGAGGAAATGAACAACAGAGTGCAACTGACAGAAATAACCGCGGCTATCTCATCGCGCTGCCCTTTAATGACACAGAGGATGACATCTCCTCGTTATGTTTTTAGTGGGTGATGCCTGTGAGCTGTTAATAAAGAGACGTAAAGCTTTCTGGATGTTTACGTCCCAGACATCGTCTCTAAAAGGTCTTCATTATGAGTTGGTCCTGAAGGTGACACTGTGACTTCCAGCTTTGCTTGAGATCAGTTGGGATGATGTGTCCACCATCCAAGCCGACACAGGGACCAGCTGGTGAACATGGTGGGGCATGTGGCAGCTGAAGGTAGCTGATGGAAGCCAGAGACAGTTGTAGGAGTTACTGCTGCACCAACACTCATCAGGTGGCCAGAACCAGGACCAACAGAGTGATGGTGTTGGTTTGTAGCTGTGGATTAATGCACAGTTTGTGTGCAAGTGAGCATTTTCAACAAAGCGTTTTACATTGAACTGATGTGTTTCGGCAAAAAAACCCCAGAGATTTGTCTCTGAGGATTGAGCTTGATCAGGCTTTGGCTACAAGATCACTTCCCTGTTGATTGATTGGTCACTTCAAGAGCTTTGTTGACAAGAAGAAAGATGACCAGTGTTGTCCTTGAATACAGAATGGTTGTGTATATGTTTGGTGGTTATATTAAGTCAGTGAAATTGTATATGATGGTATAAATCAGTGTTCTTGTGATATTGCTTTTATCTTTCCATTTTTATTTGATCCCCATGAGCTTGAGGAAATGGCACCTCACGTTTATCAGAAAACATGAGAGTAATCCAACACAATAACACTTTACTGGAATAATACCTGCACGAAATAACAGACTGCGGCACAGCGAGCAGGACTCAGTTTAGGTAACGTCACCGTTTCATTTGACCCGGTGGTAATGACAGGGTTCTGAGGCTGCCTATTGTGTATGCTAAGCACTGCTTTCATTTTACTGTTGGATATCTCAGCGTGCGTTGCTATTTGCGGCTGAAGTGTGAAGGTAGGCGAGGTGGAGGCGGTTGGCTGGGGTCATTCGCTGTATGTTGGCTTCAGAGCGACAGCAATGATGTAGAACACGTTGGCTGTGTGAGAATGAATGAGCTCGGGGATGATGTGTGCACTCTCACTCTACAGATGTGAGTAAATTGAAAAAGCAGAACAGGAGGACCGGTTACAGTGAAGCTCTGCTCAGATGGCAGGACTGCTGCCGTTTGAATCTGTGCCCCTATACAAACACGAGCATCCGCTTTATGTAGAGGCGTGACCTGTGAATTGATGATGTCAATCAATATCTTTAGTAGTCTTGACGCTGCTGTGGAATTCAGGACTCGGATACCTCAGAACTTTGAGCCTTCTTCCGAGCCACCTTTTTGATTTGAAATGGACGGGGGATATAAAACCGCCGCAGGCTCTTTGGCAGCAAATGAAATCAATCGCTAGGAAGCTGCTAGATTGGCTGCCACCCACATGAGAAGATTGGTGTGGTATTATCTTGAAAAAAATCTCAGTAGAAAAGCTGAATTTCTCTTCCAGGATTAAAAAAGAAAAAGTTTCGACCAAATTTGGAGAAAATGGATCAAATTGCTAACCCCGGTGTGAAGCAGACTGACCGGATGTGGGATGCTGGTGTGAGCTGCTATTGGCCGCTCATCAGACGGCCTCATCCTTTCCTTCTACGATCTGCGTGTCGCTGCTTTCTTCACTACAGGAACAACGACCTCCAAGCTAACAACCCACTGCTCTGAATATCTCAAGTTTTGCTGAGGGTTTGGATCATCAATCACGCAGCTCTGCTGGTTTTTTTTGTCTTCTCTGGATTATCTGTTTTCGTGACAATGCTCATCTCCCTGCATATGAATGTTCCTCCTAAACAATTGGCCCCCGAACAGGAACATTGCTAACAAACTGAAGTAGAATGATGAGTATGCAGGTTGCACCCATGTGGACATGTGAGTAAGTACGGGTGTGAAGGTGTGTAGAGCTACAGCCTTCATGTCAGGGCTCTCAAACTCAACAGTCTGGGTGAGGCTGGGCTGCATTAAGTACTCCACAAAAGAAGGGTTTCAAGCATTCCAAAAGAAGTACAACTGGTCCAATCTTCTCAATCTTTATCAATAACAATTCAGAACATGAACATTCTTCAGAACGTAGGCGTCTCCTACCTGCTCCTTGAGACCTGGCACCAACAGCTGAGCCACATTTGGCTTGAGGGAGGAAGCAATTAAGCCCTCAGTGTGGCTCGAAGATGCTCATCAGTAAGTTTGGACCCGTTGACTTATTAAAGTTCATGGTGGAGGAGAGCTTTTCACACAGATAAGAAAAAAAACAGTATTTGCACTGGGTGACAGGATTTATGTTCCCTCCACTCGGTGACGCTCCCGAATCACGTTTCAAGTGACTAATGTTGATAATTCACGTTGCTGTCATGAGCCTGATCCTCAGTAGCCCACAACCAGTAAAAAATAGAAAAATATCATTGCGCAAGCCTCAAATGGCCCGTGGGCCGCGAGTTTGACACCCCTGCTTTATATGAAGAGATTGTGTAGGGTTAGGGTTCGGCAAGAACAGCTGCTCTCACCGAATGCTTTCTGCACCTATATGTATGTAAACATACTAAAACTGGTTTCAAAATATGCTTTTGTGATTAATTAACATTGTGTTAACATTGCTTTAAGAATGTTGGAGAGTTTATGTGACATGTTTTGACACATTTTTGGTTTTGAATCTGTTATTTATTTTGCTGTTAACTTCTGTCTGGATATTCAAGTCAAACCCTTGAATTTATGGCCTTAAGGTTTATGACTTTCTTACTGTTTTGTCTTCTCAGATTTCTTGACCATTGCAACAATCCTGGGAACTGGGATCTTAGGTGAGTGTTCACATCTTTTTGGTGCATCGCCAAAGATATCCAAGAACCTTGTGATCATACATGTCACCATTTGGTGGATTTAAAGAATAACACAATTATATTTCAATTTAAAAGCCAATCTGAGGGACATTTTTATGGAACAAAAATCCGATGACATCCACTCAGGTTTGAAAACAGTTTATGACTGGATGGAAAAAAATAAACCTCCATAAGTGCTTCCATCAGCGTGTCTTTCAAGCCTGATGAACGTTTCCTCTCTAATGAAATATTGGAAAAGCAGCGTATTTCTAAACTTTAACTGTTTACATCCGTGCAGCCACGCTTCTTCTTCTTATGTTCGAAGCATTTATTATTTTAAATGTCACTGCTATTAACTGTTAGTCAGTGAAATGGTATAAAAAGGCAGGTAAGAGTGTGTAAAGCACAAACTCCAAACAGTCAAAATCAACCTGCAGTGACTTTATAATTAGATGAGGACTTTGTGGACGAGTCTGATCCCGTCGTACCTGACGATAGCGGATGAATGGAATCTGGGGAAACTTCAGGACGAGCAGAGATCACTTCCTCCACAAGGAACAATAAAGTTCTGGATTTGAGTTCAGCAACACCTCAAACTGCACTGAACACAGACTGTACATAGTAATGAGCTAACACAGTAAGAACAAAGCATGTATTGAAACTCCATGGTGTTGGTGGTAACTTTAACTTTTTCTGTGTTTGTTCTTTCGACTAGATGTCCTTTTTTTTTTATATAATTAAAGCTCTGTCCATCTCCTGGCTGTCATTGGCAGAGCAAATTTAACGGTGGTTTATGAAGTGTAGTTAACACCGGAGAGATTTTTGTAGAGGTGGAAATTACATGGGACATTACATTTAACTGCTTTGTTTTCAGCAGGGTCTTCGTGTAGTTCCACAAAGGTGGAGCCCTTCCAAGTTAATACTTGTTCAGTCACTTAAATCTCATATTGAAATCAGCACCATCCATTAAACTTTACGGTAAGCTTGAGCCAGAGTAGAGAGGAGTGTCTGAGAGCGACAGACGAGCAGAGACGGTGATGGACAGGCGTTGTTGTCCATCGCATGTCTTCACGTCTACTTGGTGGGAATCAGATTTAGAAACCGTTCTACGTTATTTCACTCTGTAGGTCTTCCAGTAACGATAGCCCATGCTGGACTGGTGCCTTTCCTGGTCTCCTTCCTCGTTGGCTTCTTTGTCCAAGTAAGTAACGGACTCTTAGTTTGCAAAAAGTTCATTATCTGCTGGCACCATTTCAAGAACAAAAACATATTTTCCATCCTCTGTTCTGCAGGCCTTGCTCATCTACCTGTTTGTGGAACTTCTTCAGAAATGTCAAGTGGTGCAGCTGGAGTCTCTGAAGGTCAGAAGCTGAACAAACCCTGTGCAGCACCTGCTTCTTACTTTTTAGGCTCCACTGGTGACGATGAGAGCAGACTGGGACACGTAGCTCTAAAATCAGGAACTATTCTGCTGAGCTGTGGACTCTCCTCACACAGAGCAGAGATAGATAAGCAGGGAAACAAATTAGAGGTATTGAGATCAAACGAAGCAAACTTGTACACAGGGATGGGTGAAATATCTTTTTTTGACCTCTTTCCACCGCTTGCTTGTCTTCTCATACGGAGGGCCTTTATCGAATGCCGGTGTTGACGCTGTCTGTTTGGGTCCAGCTGCTGCCTCTGGCTGCGGTGCTGCCGGCGTCCCGTCGCTGTTTGGCTGTTTAGGTGCTTTCTCTTCAAGAGATTGAACAAGTTTGTCGTGTTGCCATCCGACGTGCAAACCGTCTCTGTGCAAACTTTGCAAAGTACCTTTGTTTGCACTTTATTATTTGGGAAAAAGCCAAAACAATTCCATATAACAGAAGTGGAGTTTTTCTTTTTAGCGACCAGCTCCTCCGTTTGGCTTCCAGCCGTGGCTCTCCATGCGGCTACCGCTACACACACAAACAAGGAGGCAGCTAAGAAATTGTGTCACTGCCTGTAATTCGCTATGATTGGTCGGTCAGGATGATGTAATATGTCAGGTGCGTTGGTGCATCAGCATAGAACTGTAAGTGATAGAATGTGACCTAAGCAGTCCATGCGATCTCTTCACTTTGGCAGATCATCTACATGTTCTAATCCTTCACGATCTAATATCGTCATATCGCGCACCGCTACTTGTACAATTAAAAGCATGGTTAAAATATGGTATACAGAGGAGCAGTTGTTGGAAAAACATATGCAGCTTGATTAAATGTTTTTCTAGAGTTGATGTGCAGCGGAGTGTAAACCACGGAGTTTGTAGAGGTTGTAAAAATCTAAAATATGTGGGCACGAAACTTTAGCTCATGTCGATGCCATGATGTGTCAGTTTTTGTGAAATAAATAAATTAAACTGTAATTGTTAGGATTTTATTGGCATCATAACCGTGTCATACTGGACACTTTGTGAGACATTTCTGAGTTCTCTTTACTCTGGCTGTGGTTGTGCTGTTTCCATAGAGGCCTTTAGAGGACTTTATGTTGTGTTGACAAATCAGCTCACAGTCAGGAAAAATATAACAGAAGCAATAAATGCCCGACAACTGCTTTGGGTGTAAAATGTCAACATTCAGAAACTTAATCTGCTGCAGCTGGTTGGGGTAAGAGAAAAGCTGAGCGTCCAGAGCAATAAATGGTGCACAGGCTGCTGAGGCTGAATGCCACCGACAGAAAACCTGCAGACAGGACAGACGGGGCTAAAGACAAACTACAGAGGAGAGAAGACACAAAGTCAACGTTACGGCTCGTGGTCACGCATATCAGAGGCTGTTAACATGTTCTGATTGGTCCTGATCTCTGTGCTGACCTCAGACAGGTGTCGCAGAGTGTATCGTGATGGACCAGGTGGGCGTGGAGGATCCGGCCCCCACGGAGGAGGAGGACGAGGATGAAAGTGAAAATGCAGAAGCAGGTGAGACGACTTTATCTTTTGCATTAAATCTTTCTAATTATTTACCACCGTGTTTGTTAGGCGTCACGGTTCACTACAGGCAGCGCCTCGTTCATCTGGCCCAACCGTGTTCCTGAAGCCCCTCTTCAGACGTCGGATACGTACCCCTGCTTCCTCATCAGTCTGTTAAAGTGACAGTACTCATGCAGACATGGGAGATTTTCCATTAATATTCGTCAGGGCTTCGTTCAGACAGTAGTTCTGTAGTTCCTGCGAGACTGTACGGTACATCCAGTGATGTGTGGTTTACAACAATGCATTCATAAACACATAATTAAATCTATAGTAAAACTGTCTGAGTAACTTATAGCGGACTTTATTTATGGTTTCCTAAACACTGAGCGTTTGGACCATGAGTGGTTAATATCTAAATACTTCTCCATCAGTAAAACAAAAATGTCCCAACAGCCATGATAGAGCTCAGGACTCAACCTGGGAATGGCTGCTAGCTAATAAACAATTATAAAAGTAAAGAAAATGACACAGCTGACCTGCCGTTTGACCCTGTCCATGTCCTCTCTCTATGTCGGGGATAATTCAAAATAAGAAGTAATGAAGTTCTGTTGTATGTGTGCAGATACATGCAGCTCTCTTGCTTTGGAGATGTGCACATGGTTTGTGCTGCTTCATGATGCTGCAGGCGTTTGATAAACTCAGAAGAAAGACTCCTGCAAAAAGCTGGAAGTAACAAACTAAACTTCATTTATGGTGGTTAGCACCGTGGCCTCACAGCTAGAAGGTCGCCGGTTGGCGTCCCGGTGAGGACACCCGGGATCTTCCTGCGTGGAGTCTCCATGTTCTCCCCGTGCAGCGTGGGTTCTCTCCGGGTTCTCCGGCTTCCTCCCACAGTCCAGAAACATGCTGAGGTTAATTGGTGATTGTAAATTGTCCGTAGGTGTGAATGTGAGTGTGCTTGGTTGTCTGTCTCTAAGTGTAGCCCTGTGATAGACTGGTTACCTGTCCAGGTGAACCTGCCTTCACCCTGAGTCAGCTGGGATAGACTCCAGCCCCCCATGACCCTGGTGAGGATTAAGGTGTAGAGATGATGGATGGATTTGTATTTATTGTTTTGTGAGTTTCAATGAAGTTTATTATTGTGGACATTTCAGTTTGTAGTCTAGTAGATGTATAATTTTATTGCAAATTAAGTGAGAAAGGGGGTTTTTGTGTCCTTTGTGCCGTCTGTGATGTTTTTGGGCCGGTATTGGTGCTGACATGTGATTGGCCTTCCTGAGGTGCTCACAGCTTTAACAGAGTCAGAGTTTCATGCATGAAACTGACATATTCAGTTTCTGTCATATCAACATAAAGAAGTGCGTCTGGAAGGAGCTTCAGAGAGTCTCTCAGAAACATTTAGGATGCGGCTGATGTTCTTCTACTTTTCTTCTCAGCGTGGTGTGCTTGGAGTTAATGTCACTCTGCATTTACATTTCAACCCATCCAACGAGCTGTCGACTGGCCAGCTGTGGTGCATCTGCAGTCTCATGTAAACAGTGTTTGTTGACAGATGTCGGACTCTCTGGTGAGATTTAGAATGATTCTGTTTCAGAGATTACACAGTTAACAGTACGTACAGTTAGAATGTCAACGAGGGATTATAGAAAAACTGAGATTGTTTGTATTCAACATTTTTCTCTGGGTAGATGAAGAGCTGATTTATTTCTTTCACGCTGTTTTTCTGCTGTAAGATAAGTGAGGTTAGAGTGCAAACGTTCACAGTGGTGCAACACATTGTGCTCAATTGGATCATATTGCACCGTAAACTGCTGCGTCAGGACGGGCCTCATTTGAATTACATTGATCTGTTAACTAGATGTTTCGGCTCACTGGTTGCGGAGGGAGATATTAATCAAACAGGTCTTTGTGGGCGAGATATACACACCTGCTAAAGCCTCATTTATAAAAACCTCATTTATAAGCATCATTTTGAGACGTTAACCAGCGGAGACCACGGAGGGAGTTGGCGAGGGGCCAGTTTACGAGTCTCTACTGGATTCATCACGTCGTATTTCACTAAGAAGACTGCGCCTCATTTCATTTGACGTTGATGCCATTTCATGTCCATGCAGCTCTTCGTGTTTATCTGTTGTCTTCTTAAATTCAAGACCAGTGGACATTTCTTCAGGGCCGATTCAATCAGTACAACAATGTGGTTGTGTCATTCCAATACCCAGAGTTCTTGTTTTCAGCAGAAATACTGTTTGAATTCAATCAATTCCAATCACTTCTGTTCAGCCATTTTTTATTCTGTGTTAGTCTGTCCTCAGTAAAACTGGAAGGGCGAGATCCTCCCCCTCGCTCTCTTAGTGCGAATGTGAGACGCTGGCAGAAAGTGTAGCGTGACGCTGAGGGTGCCATGATAGAGACCAATATGTAGAGGCCAAAATCCATCCATCCATCATCTCTACACCTTAATCCTCATTAGGGTCATGGGGGCGGAGTCTATCCCAGCTGACTCAGGGTGAAGGCAGGTTCACCTGGACAGGTAACCAGTTATCACAGGGCTACACTTAGAGACAGACAACCAAGCACACTCACATTCACACCTACGGACAATTTACAATCACCAATTAACCTCAGCATGTTTCTGGACAGGGCTGCAAGGTGGATCAGTGGTTAGCACTGTTGCCTCAAGAAGGTCACCGGTCACGACCCGGTGAGGACACCCGGGATCTTCCTGTGTGGAGTCTCCATGTTCTCCCCGTGCAGCGTGGGTTCTCTCCGGGTTCTCCGGCTTCCTCCCACAGTCCAGGGTGAGGATCCAGCGGTGTATAGATGGATGTTTCTGGACTGTGTGAGGAAGCCGGAGAACCCGGAGAGGACCCACGCTGCATGGGGAGAACAGCACTGGACTTTCCACAAGGATGGTGATTTGAAATATGCAGCAAGACTGATGAAGAAATGATAAACATTAAACTAAAACGTTGTGTAATGGACCTGCCAAGAGCTGAAGGCAGGTGGCTTGAAAAGTCAGCCGTCACACAGTGAACAGCAGAAGATGCTTTTCCTGGAAATCTGAAGAAAAATGTGTTTGTTTAGATATTTAGTCGTCAAGGTTAAATCTCCCCTGCGTGCTTGTGTCTTTTCTTCTCATCTCCATTATGTGCGTTATATCCAGATGTATGAACACTCTGAGACTCTGAGGCGACACACAAATCCTTTTAGTGATGATTATTAGTTGATTAGCGATGAGGCGCACTGCCGGCTGCAGGCTTTCTCATTACACTGAATTGAATAGATGGCTATACGCGCACACATACATAAATGCTGCTTTCAGCGCTTCGCTCGTAGAAGTAAATACACATATCCACAATCTGTGGCATTCATAGCTTGACCTCGTTTACTGAGAAATGCTGTCAATTGATCTCATTTCCTCCCCCGTGCTGCTCGGAATAAAATCTGATAACGACTGTAGAGATGTCACTTGAGGTTTATGAGAATCACATTCATCAGCCGTAGAACGCCTCCAGCATCTCGCTGCGCCCCGACTCGGAGCTGTGGATGACCTCCTCCAGCGCTGAATGTGTGGAGTCAAAGGTAAGAGGTAAAACAGGTAATTAGTTTACAGTGTAAAGGAAAGGCAAAGTAGCAGACACCGCAGGATTACATTGTTAATAAAACCAGTTAAATACATAAGCAGGATGTGACAGTCCCCTGTTGTGTGTTTGAGGTAGATTGTGCATTTAATAGTTTATTTATAAAGTGATATTCCCTGAACACAGCCGGACTCTCCAGGCTGCGTGTCAGATAATACCTGCTGCTGATTTTATAAACTTTGATCCTTTTCCTGTGACGGGATAATTGGTGAGTTTTTAAAACCTTAAGCGGCGCATACAGTTTATGCTAAAAGCTTTAACCCGTGATTTAAGAACAGAGTTATAATTAAATGGACCAGTGGCTCCTCAGACCGACACCGCTCCGCTGTTTGGGCCGTCCCACTGACAGAAATAATTATGTGGTATAATGTGGGCTCATTTGTTGTCTTGTGTAACTTGCCATGTTTCATTTTCAGTGACAGGCCTCGTGTCCAGCGGTTGATATTTAGGATTGGATGTCATTTCACTTCTATTAGCTCTGACTCATTCTGCTTTTTGGTTCCAGTTCTTAATGATTTCTAAGTATTTGAGGGGAAGGTTGATCGGGTTACTACAACAGCCTGATTTTACAATCATGCACAAGTAATAATAATCTAATTGTATAATGTATTAAAACAATCACAGGAGACGTTTTCCTTAATAATTATGTGGATTAATGAAATTTACTCTTTCTACCCACTGAGGTCAGAGTAGCCACAGCCACACTTTACAATATATAATATTAGTCCTGCAACTCATAGAAACTGCACAACTGTGGTTAGAAGTAGAGAGAAATCAAAAATGTCTTTGGTGCAGTGCAACAAAACTGCAATGATTTTAATCAATGAACAACAAAAAGTTTATTTTACATAAAAAAAAAAAACAAAAAAAAACGTGGAATTGGAATTTTTAGTTTTTTACATAACGTGGTTCCTGCAAACAGTTTTCAGTAAATTGGTAAATGAGATTTTGAATACAGTGATTTTGATGCTATCCTGATTTTAAGCTTAGATTTGGATCATTTTCCCCCAAAACCAGCACGTCACAGATGAGTGGCTCACGGACCGTCTGCTAATTGAAAATCCAGTGAGTCTCTGTTTTCTAGCGCTGATGAATATTAAAAGAATTTAAAAAAGATAACGTGCATTTTTAGCCTGCTGGTGAGTTTTAAAGAGACGTAAGGAAGGTAGCTGCACTTTGCTGCAGAGACAGAGAGGTCCTGCTATGAGGTCAGTGAAGTTCCTTCAGTCGGCCATGATGGGCTCCAGATCAACAGTTACTGGAAGTCTGTGTTGTGTTTGCAGTCACAGAAATTATCAGTTAGTGTGCATACGGTACAAAACAAACGGTTCTTTTATTAAATGAAATATATTTTGTGTTATTGTGGATCAAACAGCCGCAGTATTAAAATGCTCCTTATATGCATTTGTGCATCAGTTAAACTAACATTAACAATATTTTGTACTGCAGTTCACTTTTACGTCAGGAAAATGTGAGAAATATGAATTTTGTATTTTATCTTTTTCCCAAATTTGTCGTCTGCTGGTATAAACCAGCCATGCTAATCCAATCCAGTCAGACAAACACACTTATTGAGCCTAAAAGCTGCATGTGTGTGTTGTGCAGTTACTGGTGTTCAGGACTGGAAGCTTCTTTTTTTTAATTTAAACTCAAGCCCAGATGGTGACGACTGTGTTAGTGTGTCGACGCCCTGCTCCAACATAACGGACTTCTGCGTTGCCATTAATTTAACATGCTTATTTTGACAATTACATTCAATAATGCACTCTCTGCCACGACCGCTTTCATCAAAGCTACGAGAGCACAAACCGATCCCCGAAAGGAAGAAGGCATCCACGGCTCGCGTTACTTCCAGGTCAGTGAGCGATCAACTTGGGGGTATTAACATCCTCAACAAACGTCGGGATGACTCTTAGAGGTTACAGGAACATCTCAGAAGCAGTATTTTTATATTCATACATTATATATGTTTTAAAAAATCTGTTATTTCTGCCTCTTAACACTTAAATACAGATTTTTAATCTCTGTCTCATTTAAAAGTTTGCCAGAAGCCAACTGTTTGCAGGAACAAGTCGCTGTGCGCTCATCGACTGACAGAACGTGACAAATATCCTGTGAACTTCCAGCTAAACGAGGCTGAACTGTACTAAAACAGAGCAGATATAAGACAAGTGTGAAAACAGTTGTTATATTATTAGTTAATATTATTTTTGCTTTTGAAATATTGCAGATTTCCTTCGACAGTATTTGCCATCAAAGTCCTGAAGAGGTAAAAATAATATGACAAACAGATTAAAGCATCTCAGAAGGAGAGGTTCAGATCTGGTTCAAGGCTTTGCTGAGGGGCTCGTAGGTGATCTCCTGGGCTTCACTGCAGATAGCTGAGTCATAACTATGAGTGTACGTTTCATTTGAACGTTGAGGGGGATCTATTAGGTTGGAGGTCCTCTGAAAGCACTTCATGTCTGCATGTTGGTGACATGTATTTCTGCCTTTTCTATTTACGTAAAGAAAACCTAACTCTTGTTTCCGTCTTAAATCGGCCTGTTCATTATTGTTTTTTATGAACTGATGAGTTGTTTGGTCTTTAAAATGTCAGACAATAATGGAAAACGTCCACCACTGCTCATCTACATCTTCAGACGTCTCGTCTTCTTGCAGCGTATTCACTTTACTGTCACAAAGGAGTAAATAAATAATCACATTCAAGAAGCCGTAAACAGTGAATTTAGACTAACACAAGCCGATTAATTGATTATCAAAACAGTAGTATCCCCTGCTCGCCCCCGGAAATCCGCCCCCGTGCTCGTAACTGCGGCGGTTTGCGGTTCAGTGAGTTGACAGCCTCGTACATCTGTCTTTGTGTGTCTCTCAGATACAGGTTTACTACAGCCGGATGCATTAGCTCTGCACCAGCAAGCTGATAGCCTGCAGCCCAACCTTCATCTGCTCGGCCGCCTCTTCCTTTCCCGCCCCATGAGCCACGCTTTCAACTGCATTCTCCTCTTCCAGTTGTAAGTTACCATGGCGATGATCTTTGCAGGATCTTAATGTTGCATCATTTATCAATCATAAATTAAATAACACTGAGTGTGGGAGGAAACATGTGGGTGAGTGTGTTGGGTTTTTTTTTCCATCACTTCATGCTAGTCGAGATGTATGTTAAGTTAAATGTGCTGCGAGCAGTTTCTCCAACTTCTGCATCCCTCCATCCATAAACATTGTTGATCACAGTTGTCTCATCGTGTTCGGTACGTCTCCACCTCATCACCGAATGTTTAGACTGTCGCCTCCAATCCTTCAGTCCGGGTACGAAGACTCCCACAAGTCCTTGAGGGAATTAACAAAAATTCACACAAAGTCATTTAAAAATATATGAGTGACTGTTTTAATTAGTGGTTTCTGTGTAAACACGGCAAATATGTTTGGATGATGATAATTACTTATGAATGTGTTGAGACTATAGAGGCCCACTTCTTCTAGCACCAGTCGTTTCTGGAAATTGAATTACATCCAGAAAGTATTCAGAGCCCTTATTTATTCATCAAAAACTAACAATCTCTCATTCACATACGTATTCAGACCGTTTATTGCAGTCCAGTGCGTCTGTTTGTGTTAAAGGTCCTGTAGCATGAAAATCTAAATGGCCTCCTAACTTTGCAAGCCTTTGTCTACTTTGTTAACAGGAAGTGGGTAACCTGTAGTTGTTGCCTCCATGCTGTCGCTGCGTCCATTCAGATTGAGCAGCAGCTTCTCAGTCCAGTAATCGTAGCAGCTGGACCTGCTTGAGTTCCTTGAAGACGTTCCACCTTCATCCAAGAGGCTTCATCAGCTCTGACTGACTAGTTGGGAGTTCCACATACTGATATCCTGAAGGAGCCATTAACACCTGAGTTTTAATTGGTGGTTTGTTGCTCCTCCCCCTCGTTATGTGAGTCGTTAGTGCTCCTCCTGACACCATGGGGTTCGTTAGGGTCTTTGTGGCTCGGTGTGGATGTGGGTTCATCTTCCTGGGGAGAGATCTTAGGACTAAACAGGTGAGAGGTGAAGCCTCAGACCTCCACCTCTGCTGAGGGATGGTTTGTCCAGTTAGATGGCTTCTTTCACTCCTCTCTCAAACCATCTGTCCTCCCTGCAGCCCAACGTCTGTACGTTGTTGTCTTCAGATGAGTGTCCTTTGTCCTTGAGATGCAGGTGGATGCTGAGTCCTGTCCTGAGGAGCTTCTGTGCTGAGCCTTGTGCTTGTGGAGCGGTTGTTTAGTATCTGGACATTCCTCGCTGCACCACGTTGCTCTGTTTATGTCTCGGTGTCCTTTGGGTGAACCAGCTTCTGTCTCAGGGTGTTGGTGGGCTTGAACTGCACTTTTTTTTTGTTTGTTTTTTACTTTCTAGAGCTGCTTCTGCCTCTAAAATGCTTCACCAAAGCACAGCAGATATTCCGTTGTCGGCTGCAAGAGTGAACACGTGAGTCTCGGTGTACTCCCAGCACCTAAAGAGTCGGTGGCTCACTTGTGATTTTGATGGCAGTGTCCCCACAACAGCAGGAGAGTCCTTTGTGTTAGGACAGCAGCAATTCAACTACATTCAAAGCTGCAAACACTGTAACGCGAGAGGACCTTTAATTACCCCTGAGATGTGTCCAGACCTTGACTGGAGCCCGTCGGTGGCAAATTGAATGACTAGAAACACACCTGTTTGGAAAAACACTGTCTTGTGTCATAACAAAAACAAGCCGCGTACGAGTGAAAGTCGCTCTCTGCTGACTGCATTAATCAGGGAAAGGTTATAAAACTAATCGTCAAGCTGCCAGAAGCGCAGTGAGACCAGCAGAGTTGGCCTGAAAGTAGAGAAACCTGAACACGATGGTTCACTGTGGCTTTAAAATGTGACCATCAGATGTAAGAGAGCTCAGAGGACAGGAAGAACGGGGATAAACTGTTAAAATCCAAGTGTGTGAAGCCTGAAAAGCCATCCCCAAGAACAGCTGAAGCTCTAATTGCTTCCAAAGGAGCTTCTACAAAGGACTTGAGAGACTTTTGTAAATACGACTGAAGTGTTTGGTTTTTAACAAAGCTGAAAAAATTTGAAAAACAGGTTTTCACTTTGCCAGTTATTGGATTGATGGGAAAAAAGGCTGTTATTATCCAGTTAAAAATTAAACCTGCAGCATAAAACCAAATGTGAAGGGCATGAATACTTACTGTGTCACATCAGTTTTTTGTCCAAACGACAAAATTATGCTTGAAAAATATTTAACAAAGATGAAGCAGGTGTTTTATTTCTCTTTCAGGCGTGCGTCCTCATTGGTTAATGAGTTTTTTTAGTGACACACACATCATCACAATTAAGCCTCCAGAAGCCCAGAAGCAGGCTTTCAATACCTCTTTTCACCAACATGCAAAAACATTCTAATGTGGAGGGATTTTCTGTGTACTGAGCTAAAATACTGACTCAACGATAATTAATCCTCCCATCATGTAACACGTCCCTGTCCGTTCTCTTTAGCCGTTCTTAATGGAGACGCTGCAGCATGTTTAATTGAACAATGTTTGAATGAAACAAGTCGTTCCATTTTCTGTGTTTTGGACCAGCCACTCTTAACCGAGGCAGGGCAGAGGACCTGTATAAAAACCGTCCTTGAGGTCCAGACTTTATATCATCGGCTGCTGCTGCTGCACAGCGTTGAAATATTGAGAGTTACAAGCCTGAGCCAAATACTGATAAAATATGATCATTGCAGCAGCATCTGCAGTCCACCAACTTTGTAAAGCGACTGTTGTCTCTCCTTAATTGAAATTTGGCAGCTAAAAAAAATGTAAATAAGCATTCAGATTCAAGAGGCCACTGTGGCCGGTAATGTAATGATGTTTGGATTATGTAAAGATGCACAATGTGATCACAACAGTGTACATTAATTTAATTACAGCCACACTGAAGGAATGCATACTCCATATTTCCCTCTATAAAGGCAAATGAATGTTTGATTTCCCTGCTGAAGAACTGGCTACCTTCTCTGTTTCTTATCAATTTCTCCACTGGCTCCAGACTAATGGTCTTTCTGGGTCACTTAACAGGAGTAATGGTCTGAGAAAGTCATTGTATTGACTCGTATATGTAGTTTATTTGAGGAAAACACTGATCCATCACACAAAATATTGGCTTCAATTAAGGTCAAAGCCAGATGTGGCGTTCACTTGTCTGCCGTGTTTGATCATTTTGTCGTTGTGTCTTAATGCACAGATGCACCGGTGTAGCGTGAATTGAGTTTGTATTATTTGTGTGTAGCGCTGACAGGCTTGTGAGTCGTCGCGGGCTCAGAGGAGAGGCACGGGGCTTTTAGCATCGCTGGTGGAAGGTCTTGTTATCAGTGTGTGAGCAGCTCCCAAACACCTGACCGATCGATAGTTCCCTCATTGTGTTCAAGGAGGCTTAGTGGTCGATCAATGCCGAGGCTCGACCGCACTGACTCACACACACCACACAAAGCACGACCTGAATCTCTTACCCTTGGCACCCCTCGGTCTTTATGTACTGCCCTACACGCTGGAGCTGTTGTAAAACACACACAGTGACACACTCACACTATGCACTGTATGTACACACACAACCAACAGCTTGCTGACAAAATACATGACGTATACATGCTTTAGTTTACCGTACCTGCAGAACTGTGTGTTGTTTAGGAAACTGGAATTTGGATGACGACAGCCGACAACAGAGGCAGCTACAAACACACCCACACATACTGACTAATGAGTGGATAACGGTAGAAAATATCAGAGGAACAGAGACAACACGATGGAAAATATCTTCTCTGACAACATAATGTTTGTGTTTATGAAGGTGGAATATGTTTTTTGCAGTCTGAGAGCTAATGTGTGCTCCTAAGGCATGCTGATGGGATGTGCTGTACCCTGACTGCACCAGAAACACTTCTGCTCATTGAGTATAACTGAATTATGACTGAATTATTCCAGTCGTAGCTGGAGGTGAGCTGGTGTGCTCGAGCCTCGATGAGTGAGAGAGGCAGGGACTCAACATATCTGCACATTGTAGAGGAAGAAAAGGTGCATTGAAGCTGTTTTATTGCATGTAAGCTGCATTTTAATGGAGTTAAAATAAAAAATAAATACTTGAATGTCCCGCAGAGGGAAATTTTCCTTTGGCTGTGACGCAAAATTTGAACAGCAGCAATGTAACTGTGATGCACAGTGATGAGGAATAAAAGGTAAAATCTATGCCAGGAGAAGAACTTCGATGTTAACATCAAACAGCAGATTACTGACTTTGACCAGAGCCTGGCTATTGGTGCCAGATGACACTAAAAGTCTTCAGAGCTCACTTAGAGTGGTGTATTTTTAATTACTAGCAGTATTTCCTCCAGTATTTTCTTTTAACTGGCCCTGCTTTAGCGTATTAGCTGCTAGTTGTGTTGGTCCTGACATTTTTGGGTTAATTATCCAACTCAGTCCAGTGTGTTGGGTTTTTTATATTTGTTTTGTAATAGTTTTGATCATTTAAAGCTGTTTTATCTGATTGTTCCTTTGTACATTTATGGTTTTATTATGGCTTGTATAGATCCACAAGTGGGATGTTTGCCATCTATTTTGTACTTCTTTTTAATAAAAATAAAAAAACATGTAGTGACTCTCAGTTCTGCATAAACACCTTGTGGGTAAAGCAGGTCAGTGGAGGATGGCCAGACTGGTTGGAGTCGACAGAGAGGCTCTGGTTACTGGTGAGGACGGGCTACAACAGCAGCCGACCACATCTGGTTCCTTTCCTGTCAGTCAAGAGCAGAAATCTGGGACTGCAGTGGGTCGCCAGCGCCGGACAGTTAAAGACCGGAAAAAATTCTGTTGTTCTCTCTACTTAAATAGATTAAAACTCACAGACGTCTAGGAAAAGGTCACAGGGGTCGTAGTGGTGTCTCCCACAATAAGGGTTGATGTGATTTCAGGACAGTGACAGTCGGTTCCCCAATCAGCAGATCTGAATGCAGTAAAGCATCTTTGGGATGTGATAGAAAAGGAGGTTTGTAGCGTGAATGTGCAGCTGACAAGAAAGACCAAAATCTCCAAAAGTTTTGTGGAATCCAGGCCATGAAGAATCAATGCTGTTTTTAGGGCAAAGAGTCACATGAAGTCGCTTTTGAGTTGCCACAAGTCCATCAATGGAAGCTAATTGTACGAGGTTGTCGCCTACATACGTACAATGTCTAGCGGGCTGCAAGGTGGCTCGGCACCGTCGCCTCCCAGCTAGAAGGTTGCAGGTTCGCATCCCAGTGAGGACACCCGGGATCTT